ATGGTAATCAGTGGAAAAATATAAATTTAAATTTTCCTGTTTTTAAAAAAGCACCTTTTATCAGTTTAACCTTGACCCCTTTATGTGTTTCAGCAGGAATTTCAATCCTGAAAAATTTTAATCCAAATGCATACCATTGAATGCTTGTTTCTCACAATACAAGTCATAATTCAGGGACAGTTACATCAGTTGAAAAAATGCTTTAGATAAGGAATTCTTAAGATGAAAAAATAGTTAACTTTGTCCAGTCTTATATCTGTTTTGGAAGGATAAATACCGTAAGCATAAAATATTTCAGCCAATGTGAAAAAAATGTAAAGTAATACTATAATTAGAAATCCTACCACGAATTAATTCCCTGCTTAACAGATTGCTAAATACTGCAGGAAAGACTAAATACTGTGGCCTGAAAGTTTTTTTTTAAAAGAAAAATTGAAGTGTACCCTTGCCCTATTCCACCATCCTTGTGTTGATCTGTGCTTGCTGCTCGTACTCTCCAGGTCAGGGCAAGGCCTGGATACCTCCAGTGGTCTCCAGCCAGCTTCTGGGTTGTTTGGATTTCATAACTTCCACCCAGGGAACCCAACTGAAGCCTGCACAGCTCTCCCTGCCAACCGACAGGGCAAAGCTCTGCCTTGCTCTCTGTGTCAGCTCTGACATTCCCGAGCTGCTGCAGCTCCCCCAAGGAAACCCTTTCCTGCTGGGCGAGTTGAATTCCGTTCAGTGGGAAGTTCAATGTCAGCAACGGGGAGTTATCACCAGGAAAATTGAACTGGATGTCTGGAGAGCAGATCAAGGAAATTGTAAGGGACCAGTTCTCTGCCCTTTCACAGTTGGGAGTGTGGCCTGTTGTTTCATGCAGTTGCACCCTGTGTTATTGGGGCCTGGTGGATGGAATTACAGCCCTGTGGTCTTGCCTTCTCCCGTCCTTATCTCAGTGGCTTTGCTCTAATAGCAGAGCCTTGCTCGGCACTCGAGTCTGTTCAGAAATTAAGGGTCCAGCTGATATAAACAACTCATAAGCTGATACAAACAACCCGTGCTGGCTGCAAAAGAGTGTTTTGATGATGTAGCTTACAGCAATTTGGTGAGTAAAACAAATTGTTCTAGCCAAAGCGTTTTTCGGTCTGTGTCTACGCTGGGGATTCTGATAACAAAAATAGCACAAAATGTCACTGGTAGGTGTTCTGCCAAAAGCTTCTAGCCCGTGTTTGTCCTTAGATCATCTCTTTTTGCTGCATAATAGATTACGTCTGTTGGAAATACCTTCTTCTAACCTCTGTTTCTTCTTTCCACTCGCAGCACTCACACAAAACCGCTGCTTATCCTCGGCAAAGGCACAGAAACCAGGAGGAACAAGAGCCTGTGGAGGTGTGTGTTTCAATGCTGAACTGGAGAAGTGAATCTAAATGACAGGGGCCTCCTTCCACTGAGTTACTTAAGCACTTTGAAACAAAACACCCCCCTCCAAACGGTATCAGTAGTCCACAGTGCTTACAGGTGTAACAGGAGTTTCCATATTAACCCCTCAGATGCCTGCCAGCACGAAGGTACTGCCAAGAGAAAATTAAGGCAAGGAACTGCTGACTGTTCTTCAGATGAGAAAAAAAAAAAAAATCACGTGAGGGCTTCTCAGACAGTCATATTTAACCTCTGGTAGAAATGTTCATCAGAGCCTTTAAAACTCGCTGATACATCTGATGTTGTCTTGCCACGTGTTGGGGGCAGTTAAAAACCCTTCTGTGGCCTCAAAAGGCACTGACTGATGGAGGAGGTTCAGCTCTTCAGCTCCTTAGTGGCACTGGCCAGCCCTGACTGCCGTTTGGGCCCTAACTCTGATGAAATGTGAGCAACATTCCTTGAACAGCAAGGAAGTCTTTAACGGGAACGGCTCCCAGGGAGCACAAATGGTGGATCTTCGAAGAGATTCTGTGCTCCACAAAAGCAACTGAAGGAGTTTCGAAGAGATTTGAGAGTTTGATTACACACTGGTGATACTCCTGTTGCAAGCTGAGTGGAAGTCTAGGTTGATCTAATTAGCAAAGACTGGAATGTGAGGACAAAACTGACAGCGGTGACATGTTTTGGGAGGTGCTGTTATTTAGCAAACGTGACCAACTCAAAAATTCCAGCGAGAGACCGGTATAAAAACAGAGGTTAATGACTCCAAAATCACCCCTTATTTTCTAAACCTAAATTAAAATGTTTCTAGAAGTTGGTTAAAATTGTGCAAATGTATCCGTGGAACGTTGGATTCATAATTTTGTCTATTTTTAGAGGATCAGTATCGCTCAAGTTTACAACTGGGTTTGGATTGTTTTGGTTATTAAATGATAAGAAGTTGCATGTTGAAAAGTGACAAAATTGCAAGAAATAGATCCTAAAAAACAGCTGTAAAAATTATGTTGAGACTAGTCAGTTTGGGGTGGTGTGCACCAATTTTAGTTTGCAGATTAAATGGAGATTGAATCAGCATACACTTAATTTATTAAGTAATTTTAGAGTTGGTATGGTGAAGTAATCAAAAATAAAGTTCATCATCATTTACTGTCTTTTGTAACAGATTAGATGTTAATAAAATGTATAGGAATAATTCTGTAGGATATTTTTTAGAAGCTTGATTATTATTTATAAAATTAGTAAGTAATATATATAATGAGCAGCTCTTGAGAGCTATAATTTGCTAACACTGACACCCACCTATTTTTCCTCACCCCTAAATTATATGTCTCATTACAAGACTGAGTACTGGTGGTGTTATGGTAGTAACCCAATGTTAGGTTTTAGTATTTCTGTACAATAACTCCGTCTTCTCCGATTAATTAATTCCAATTCTGACTTCACATCCTAACAATCTTTATTACAAGGATTGGACCTAAATAAAGGGTAAAATCAAGCAGACGTGTTGAAAACACTGGAACAAGTAGCGAGAAAAAATAGCAGAGTACGTGTAGTTGTGCAAGTAAATAAAGAAATTCTTTGTTATTTTTGGCAAGAGGTGGAGAAGCATGTGATGTCCAGTTGTAGCTTTAGCCAAGGATTTATCTTGGGGCTAAATACTTTATAGGCAAACAGTAATTCCTTTTCGCCCCACATCAGCTGAAATACTATTTAGGGCCAAGAATGCTGTTTGCAGAAGTTGACCAGCCCTACAACCAACCACTAATATTTAAGGGATGTATAATATTAGGGGCATGTTGTTACCGAGGGTGTATCTTGTTGTTTTGTCAAGACTTGAGCAAGGCAAAAAGCTGGACTGTAACGCAGGGTGCAAAATGGTCATTACACTCGCTCCGTCCTGTTACATCTATAGCTAGTGGTGTGTTTGATTGACCGGGCTACTGGGGCAGGGACTGCTCTCCAGGGAAGGATGTCAGATCAGATCTGGAAGGTTGGTGCTTCACAGTTATTTTTCGGTGCTTCACAGTTATTTTTCAGGGGTGGGTAGGGGAGGTCTGTTCACCTTATAAAGCAAGAGCACTCACTGAAATGAATTTGGGAGTTCACATATTTGCTCTCACCTTGTCATCTATCTGAGCTGCGGGTCTTGAGAGTCGGGCCTTTCCCCCTGGCACCAGTTGCCTCCTCGCCATGTACTTTACGCATCTGCGAATGCTGGCAACTGACGAGGCGGGGAGAAGAGCTCACCATTTGGGGGTGTGATGGTTAGGATGGCCCTCACTGGGGGATTTGCAGGTGCTCCTCGCGGAGCTGCCACACGGCTGCCTTCCTCCGGGTAGCGACGGACCGGGGCGGGCAGAGGAGAGGTTCGCGGTAGGAGCATCTCAACTTGCTCTCGCAGGGCTTCCCGGGGGGACCGTCAGCCGGGGGCGGGGAGGCAGGCGACGGCCACGGTGACCCCGTGTGTGCGGGCGGGCAGGAGGAGCGCGGGGGAGAGCCGGCTCCGTGCGCTGACAGAGGCTCGGGGCTGCGGCGGGCGGCGCTCGGCGGGGCCGGGTGGGGGCGCTGCCGCCGGGCCGGGCCGGGCCGGGCGGGCGGAGCGGGCGGGCGGCGGGAGCGCCCCGCAGGAGCGCCCCGGGGCTGGGCGGGGGCCGGGGCGCGCCGGAGCGGGCTGGGCCGGCGCCCCCTCCGCTGCGCTCGGCGGGGCCGCGTCCCGCCGCTGCGGGGCGATGGGCGGCGGCGGCGGGCGCCGCTAGGCCGCCGCGGGCAGGGCGGCGGCGGAGGCGGGAGGAGGAGGAGGAGGAGGCGGCGGCCGGGGGCGGGCTGGGTCCCTCCCCGGGAAGATGAGGCGGAGGCCCGGTCTGCCGAACGGGTTGAGCTGGGGCTCTTCCCTCCCAGCCGCCAGGACAAGATGGCAGCGGCCGAGGCGGCGGCGGCAGCAGCAGCAGCAGCGAGAGCAGCAGGAGCGGCGGGGCTGAGCGGCTGAGCCCGCCCGGAGCGGCGCTTCCCCGGGGCGCTCCCGGACATGCCCAGGGCGGCGGCGGCGGCGGCAGCTCCAGCGCGGACGCCAGCGCGGCCCGACCCGTGAAGGTGAGCGGCGGGCAGGGAGCGGCGGGCAGCGAGCGGGGCCGGCCCCGCCGCAGCGGGCGGGCAGCGGCGCTGCCTCCGCCGCCGGCGATCGCCCCTTTCCCACGGGGGCTCCGCGGCGCTCCCGGCCCCTCTGCCCGGAGCCTCCGCCGCCCTCGCCCAGCCCGGCCAGCACCGCTCCTTCTCCCCGTGGCCTTCGTCCCCGAAGTTTCCCCTTTCCCCGTAGCCCGCCCCGAGCAGCCCCGGGTGCCGGGCGAGGCCGCCGCCCGGCGGGGGAGGCGTGTCCGCCCCTCGCCCGCTGCCGGCGGCGGCGCTGCCCCCGCTCCCTTCCCTGCCCTGCCCTTCCCCTGGCGGGCGCTGCCCCAGCGCTCCCCTGCTCCCCTCCCGGGAGCCGCCTCCTCCTCCTCCTCCTCCTGCCTTGTATGGCCCGGCCGGCGGGGGGTCCCGCGGGTGGTGCCCGGGCGCGGCTCCGCCCGCTCCCGGGTCCTGCTCGGCTTTCGCAGCCGCGCTGGCTCCGCGGGACTCCCGGCGGGACTCGCCCCTCGCCCTGACCCCGGAGGAGACACCCGCGGGACCCCCTCCTGCGCCGTGGGGGGAGCCGGGGCGGCAAATGGTGCCCGGGGCCGGGGTAAAAAGCAGCAACTGGAAAGGAAGCGGACGCTTTAAAATTTGGTCAGTTCCCAAGAGCGAGCTCCGTGGAAAAACAGAGGGGTTTTATTGCTGGAGGCTTTGCCGTAATGGTTGCGGCAGCGACTGTGCGGGGTTTGTTCTGGATTCGTCGTGATATCAATTGTAAAACTGGCAGGTGCGTTTGCATGTGCTTACCGCTGTAGGAAACAGGGAGAGGGGGTTTAAAATTATTTTTATTTTAATTAAGCCCTCCGTCGTCAGTGCTGTGTGCTTACGTGTATATAAATATCTTCCTTTTGAGGCTGTACTGTTGTTACTAACTGTTGCGTCCAACTTGAAATGTCAGAAACTGCAATCGTTTCTTTTTTTTGTAAACTTAGTTGTTTTGAGACTCCCAGGCTTGCCGTCTCAGGAATTATGCGTTGCTCTGATGTTTTTACATCTTCCTGCTACTGTATAACCCTGTTTATTTCGGTTTTATTATCTTTAAACTGTCTCTTATGCTAATAACATGTTTTCCTACAATTTCATTAAGTAAAGCTGCTATTGTTCATATCAATGCATGTTTCTGTGGTGATTTTTCCCACTCCCCCAGTATTACCTCCCGTTACATCATTTGCAGAAAGTTTAAGCTCTGATTGATTTCACACAGAGTAGAAAAGCCTGGCTGGCCCATGAATACTTACTCTCTGATATAACGCCTCCAATAACAGAGTTAATTTGCTAAAGATTCCAATAAACCAAGTTTAAAATAACACACAGTAACTGTCTAACAAGCGCGGCAGCCTGCGAAGAGATTAATTAAGCACCTGGAAAATAGGTCAATACTGTATTACGAAGTGGCAGGGTGAGATCTCAGATAAATAGAGCAAAGTGTTAACGTGGACTTAACCGGGAGAAAACTGATACCGACAGAACAGCGGTGACGGCTTTATCTCTGCTGCCGCGGACCATTTATGGTAGCGGCGCGGCGAGGTGATGTTTACAGTCGTGTAAAACAGGAATTAAGGCAGAGTTTTCACCTAATGCACTTGTTACCGGGCACTTCTGTTGTACTGCGAGTTGTGCTGCTTGCTCGGGGTGTGGCGCCTGTTGTGCTTGTAAATTATTTTTTTTTCAAGGATGCGTTTGGCTGGATGCTCTTAATTCCGATTGTGGTGGTGGTGGTGGTGTGTGGCTCTCCGGGCTTGAGGACAATTTGTAATTGGACGGATTCCATCAGCTGGAATAAAGTTTCATTGAATAATTGCTCGGGAAGCTGCCCGTGACCTGGGGCTCTCTGCCGGTACTTGTGAATTTTCTTTGTTTCGGGTTTTTCGCGTCTGCATGCTTCCTCCCTCCTGTCTTTCAAACCAACTACCCAACAGAAACAGGGAAATGAGACCGGCTCTGCATCACGAGATAGCAGAGACAAAGACAGGGTGTGGGGAAGAAGAGTGAGCTTGCAGCCCGCTCATCTTACAGAGCTAACTCGTACAAATGTTGGGAGTTCGCAAGTGCTGCTTCTCTTGTTGCGCCCTCCACTTGGTAGCAGTTGCTTCAAAACAAACCTCGTTTTGGAGGTGATTCTCCCGAGAGCATCTGTCGGACTGATTATAGGGGATGGGAGGCTGAGCAGTGCTTCTGGAGGCAGAGGGTTGGCTCACCGGCTCCTGGGTGGAACAGAATCAACCGTGCTTAGTTCTTCTGCAAAGCCCGGTCTGAAGGTGTAGGAAATGTCAGGTTGTGTTTCCCTGAGCGTGTGTTTAGGTGTGCACCTCTCTCTGTACCATTGTAAGGGATTGCACGCTTCCTGTTTCTTAGAATAGTTCTCTTTTTGACGGTGCATATTCTCTTTCTTGTATTTTCCATTTTGCCAGCACGCTGATCGTAGCAACAAAGGCCCTTTTGACAAAGCAGTGCTTTTTGAAACGGGAATTTTGGAGTTGGCTTTCTTACGTGTGTGTGTGGGGGAAGAACAGCACTACCAACAGGAACGGTGCTGTCGTTTGGGGCCGAATGGGAGGAGTATTCGTATTTTGGAGCAACGTTAAATACAGGTGGAGAAACTCCTTTTAGTTGAGCTGAATTTTGCCGTTGCAGTGTGAGGTCTGAGTGCTGTGCACATACAGAGGAGTTACCTCAGGCAGTGTCACTTTCTGCCCAGAATTCTGGGGAATAAAGCAGAGGACAGCTATACTTTTTTTTTTTTTTTAATGAGATAAGCCTTATCTTCTCTGGATATATATATATAATGATATCATCTGATGTGCAGGAGCATTACAGCTGAGGCAGACTGCTCTGTCAACCGACAGAAGTATGAGTTGGGCAGAGCAGACCTGGTGATACTCTGCGGAGGGAAGAAGAAACACGGAGATAGGGTGGTGGTGATACCAATATTTACCTGCTACAAGTTTGCTGTTGAATTTCGTGAAATGGCATGCACCTTTCAGACCTCAAAAAAGCTTGTGGGTGTGCCACTTTGTGTTTTCTGAGTTCTCTTCAACTCCCTGATGATGTTACTCAGGGCAGTTAGAGGAGACGGTCAGAAGTCTTGGCATGGGATTGATCTGATGAAGAAAACATCCTCAGTACTTCTTCATTGTAACTGTGATGCCCCTGTAGATGTGTTACATAAACTCACAGCTGCTCTAACTATTAAATTTTCCTGCCTTTGAAAATTGGGGAAGTAGGAGTTCAGCTTGATGCTGGGTAGCTTTTCCTAAGCTAATGTCTCTGTTTCTAAGTCACTGAAATATTATATTTCTTCAGATCTCTTTAAGTGACAGGGCTGGAGTGGAAAATAATGTATTACTTTCAATAGGTCTTGAAATAAAAGCTTATTTTCTGGGTAAGTGTGAGGTGGATCTCTAGGTATCTCAAGGCTTATCTCAGAGTGTGTTTCAGAGCTCTGGCTGGGTTAAGCACAGAACCCAACATGAGGAAGTGAGCACTGAGCATGTTAGAGGTGGCTGAGTGTGCAGTGCACCTGAAGTGACCACAGTAACTCGATTTAAACAACTTTAAATAGCTAGTCCTGTCATATGGGTTAGTAATGGGTTACCTTTTCTGACTTGTACAGGCAGTGAACGCCCTCTTTTTGACCTGAAATAACCTATAATGAAGGATAAAGCCTAGAAAATCCTGTTACCTGTTCTTGGCTTCCCCTGCCCTCCTATAGACGGTTTTAATTTAGAGCCTCTACCTCTTCAACAGATTTCTAGAGAAACCACAACTCTGTTTTTCTTCAGAGGCACCAAGTTTTGGGTGACAGGTGAGCAGGGGAGCAACATGTAGTTATGAAAGTGGATTTTTGTTGGTGACTTTATTTGATAGTGTAGTGTTTCCTACAGGGTTGTTTCCCTGCCCTCCCCCCCTTAATTCTTCAGTATAGTGAATGCTGAAAAAGATGGCAAGAGCTGGTGTGAGCCTTGGGTTTAGATGCAGTTTGGGGATGGTCTTTGTACAATTTTTTCACATTCTGTCACCTTTTTTTTTTTATTTTCCCATATAGTGTCTTAATATTCCATTTAATTTTTGAGAGCGGGTAACTTTCTGAAAAATGAGTGTTGATCTCCAGCATAGCAATTGTGCTTGGAAAAGGAAGAAGAACCAAATAACTGAACTGGCTTTTTTAAGCAAGTCAACTAATGTAGTTTAGTTCTGTTATTTTTCTTATGCTGAGACTTGGAGTTGTGTAATTTCAAAATACCTCCCCCTATATTATTAACTCTACATATTTTTTATGTCCACTATTATGTAAACTTTTTGTACAGTCTTTTTCACCTTATGTTTTCGGAAAAAGATTAGGAAATATTCCTTTTTTGTAAATAAGAAATATATTCCTGCTTTTCCCTTTTCTCCAGCTCTCTTGTATATTTGGGTATAATAAGATGAAGCCCAGGAAAATGTTAAGTTCAAGTTTCAAAACGCAGCAATAAAATAAGAGACAGTGAAATATCAAAAGACAAAGCAGACATAACAAATATATTCCTATCTTTTAGTATGATCAAAGCCACAGCAACCCTCAATATTAAAAATGTAATTGGATTCTTATATAGAGAGTACTGTTATTAAATGTTGTGAAGGACACTCCCGTCAAAAAACTGTCTTTAAAATCAATAATCTTAAACTCATATGCCTCTTTCCACTGTTGCTAAAACAATTTAACAGTTGTAAAAAACTTTTTAGTGCTTTTTAAAAGCATGTTCCAAGTTAAATACGAACAGTGCCTTTAATGTAAGAAGTCAGTGATTGTTAAGTGAAAATCTCTTTGTGTTTGTATAAACATCACCTGCTGAATATGTACAGCGCCTCAGTAACCACCCATTTAGGATAAGCGGTGGAAAATTGAGGGACAGGGAAGCTCAGGTCCTAATACCTGTGCAGAGTCCCATAAACATCCTCGTTAGAAGAGGAGGACGTAGCTGCTGGTTGGAGATGCCCACGGTCACTTCCCGTGTCTGTGGGAAACCACTCTGTAATCCACAGATCTGAGAGCGTCTCGCCCTCCTCTGTTCCCGAGGCTGTGCTGCTTTAGGTTACCGGGCTGTGCCGTCCTGGAGCTGATTGTTACGTGACCGGGACACTTCAACTTCCAAGGAACTTAAATTGCTGGGTGAGGCAAGATTTTTATCACAAAGCTTGGCTTGGCTGTTGCCTCGGGGCAGGCTGCGACCAGCACCCGAGAAAACTTGCTTTGGGTCGTTTTAGGAGTTTACTTTGGTTTTTACTTGACTCTCAGTTCGAAAGTGGGTCCAGTGATGGAGTGAGATGTCAAAACTGGTCCCTGGGCTGGAAGAATGGCCAGGAGAACAACTTGAGCTGGCGTTGTGATAACCGGTGGTGCAGCTGTGCTCTGTGTGGGGCTGCAGCGTCCTCATCGTGGGGATGTTTGCTGCTTTTATTAGCGTGACCAGATCCCTCCAGGCCTGCTCCCTCGGGTCCGTGGATGTCAGCTGACATCTGAACCTTTCCCTGCTCCTGCGGGAACAGACTGAAGTGCCTGCCCACGGAAAAAGGACCAAGTGTAGGCTGCTTGAGGTCTGCATGGGAAAGCTCACCTAGAAAGGCCAAAGTGCAGAGTGGAAACAAATTTCAGGACCAATAAGTGTTAAAAGAAAAATTGCTGTATTTGTATTTCCCACAAATATCAGAAGCTAACTCTTGTGATACCAATATGACTGCAATCATAGC